TCAGAGACAGACCAGCAACCGCCAATAGAGCTGTCCCAGCACATGTCACAGCGATCACAGTGCTGCTGGGATTCCTGATCCTCCTCTGTGTGGTTTGAGAAGTGGAGAGAGACGGACCGGTGCTGAAACGTGTGTCAATTTAGTATAAAGTGTATCTGTGTTTTAAAAGTAATTTTATAACTTTTAAAACAGTTTTAACCTTTTCCCTGCCCTTTTGATCACTGCCTGCAGTGATCAGTATACTGATCACAGTATTTAACTGTGATGCAGTTTATTTTTGTACCCTCAAGGGTTAATTTTGATTTTTTTATCCCTTAGGGGTTAATTTTATTTAATTTGTTATTTAATTAATTTAATGTTAATTCCTTAGTTAGCTGGAGTGGGTGAAGTTTAGTCGGAATTCAGGAAATTGAGTGTTAGGCTAGTTAGAGACAAAAAGTTCTGAAAAGTTTTTTTAAAATTAAAAAAAAAAAAAAGGATAAAAAAATTTAAAAAAAAATAAAAAAGTTACCTTTTTTTATTTTTTAGTTTGCTAAAGTTACACCTTCATAATGTCTAGAAAGTACACTGCTGAGGAGGCTTATAATATACTAGCAGCCGACTGACGCCACAGAGTGGTGATGAGACTGTGCCAGATACTGCAGGGCCCTCTGTTGTGTAACTGCTTACCTGAATGGGAGTCTGTAGCGCAGATATATGTGCTCACCCTTGCAAGTAAACACAGGCCAAGGGAAGAACTCACCTGGCCTGTGAGTCTGTGCACGGGGGCTTTCCAGGAATAGTGCTCTGTAATAACTGGCTGTGTTTTTCTTTAGTTGAATAAGTCTTTTATGTATATATATAGATATTTCTTCTTATCTTCAGTTGATTAATGTATATACGTCTTTTGTATATATAGTCTTGGGCCAAATGCTCGCCACAATAATATATGTCTATATTATTGAAAAGTACTAATACGCAATCTGACGTTCTTTATAAAAAATGAGTATTTATTCTACATTCAACAGGAAACCGTTATATATACTTAACAGATGGTAATTCTTAACGATGTTACAGAGAGTCGTCTTGACATCAGAGAGGAGAGCAAACGGATCGTAGCAGGAAGAGCCCTGTAATCCTTTGTCCTTGGCTCTATATACCCCAAATTACGTCATAATGTTTAGTTTAGACCCTGCCATATAAGGAAGTTCCCTATATAAAGACCGCCTCAAATCTCTTATACAGCAAATTCCAGAGACCTCATATTACAGAGTAGCAAACACCATCTGTTCTGTTTAACCCATTAGACAGCCACACCTTAATATGTATTTGAATAGGAACATACAGAATATGCAATATTCTACATTTCCCTCTGTTTATGGTTTATTTATAAACCATAATAATGTTATTTACCTGTCCATTCATACATCATTCGTATCACATTTCATATCACAGTCATTGGGTATAAGAAGAGATGTGTTCATAGCTACCCGGTATCTGAGATTCCTTGGAAGTATTGTGTATTACCCTGTTTACAGTTTCCTTTAGTGTATTCTCCTTCTGTTTAACCTTTTCATTTATGAGTATATACAGTTTTCTAATTCTACATTGCATAATTACTTGTAAAACAATACATATTATAGATACACATACAACAATAATAAATGGATGAAATAAAATATTTACAATTGCTGATCCCACAGATGATTTAGCAAGTGTGTTTGTGCTTTTAATTATGTCATTCCACCAAGAGGAACTAGAAACAATTGACCATTCATGTTCTATCACCTTTAATTTACCCTGTTCATGTTCAAATTGAATTTCTGTTTCTTTCAACTGTTTTTGTAACGAGTATAATAATATCTTGCCTTTCCTAATCTCATCTGCCCACTTTCTCCATGGACACTCATTTGTTTGTGAAACATTTAATTGAATAGGCATGATATCTATATCTTGTATAGGACTCTTTGATATGTTAACTTGAGTTCCTTGAATATGTATTATTAGTGGACCCCCATTGATACAATATAACCCTTTCTGTAATGTTTCTGAATGTGTACATTCTGAAAATGTAGCTCTTACTAACTCATTAGTTGACATAACTTGTACACATACTTTGTCTTTTTCTATGGGAGTTACAATTTCATGAGGATTTTTAACTGTTTTAATTTTACCGGAACATGAACTTTGGTTATGAAAACATGAATGATAAATGGTTTCAACTTGGTTATTTAAACATATTATTTTGGATGGAAAATGTAGACAACTAGAAAGATCTACCTGCTCAAGTTCAGTAATGTTATTATAAGATACAAAATCAGGATATTGTAATTTATAAAATAATAATTGTGTGTTACTAATAGGAATTCCTAATACCGACATTGAAAATAGTGTTTTTTCAATACCAGAAATTGGTATTAAAGAAGAACTTCTCATTGTTACATCCCAACCATTTGTTAACCCATAAATCTGTATGATTTTTAGCGAACGCAAACTCCTCAGGTAAACTACGTTTGAGTTCTATAGGAGTAGTACCACCTTGTAATGCTTGTGCCATCACCTTAAAATCTGTAGAATATTCAACTTGTATCTCTAAACAAGCTTTGGCTACCTGGGATGAATCTGCATTTCTCATTAATGCCAAAGTAGCTTCCTGTAAATGTTGAACAGAGGGTGCAATAACAGAGGCTGTGTTCATAACCATATTTTTCAATATTTGATTTAAACCTCTTTGAATATGCAATCCTTTTCCCCCTATTAACCCTACAGTTCCCAAATCATTCTTTAATGTTTGAATATCCATAGAATTGGTGATACTTCCTATAGTACCAAATCCAGCCATAATTCCTTCTACTATATCTCTTTTTTTTCTGTTTGATACTTTACTTCCTCCAAACCAATGTTCTAAGCCTCGTTCCATATTTAATAAATGTTCCTTACATTGTGGAAATTTACTTGAGATTTTCCACTGTGAAACATTAAAATGCCAAACTATTGTTGCAAATTTCCCATCTAATAACAAAGGCTTTGATTGAAAATGATTCAATTGAAAGGGACTTGATAACTTAAAAACCTTATTTTTGCATTCTACCATTCTGGGAGAGAATACATTTACCTTAACATCACCACATCTCTCATGATGATTTCTTAACATTAAACAACATTGATAGTTTCCACTATCACTGTAGGTAGGATTGTCTAAATAGAAAACAAACATTTCTTCCGACCAATCCACCTTTCCTAGTACACCTCAACTGACTAAAATAAAATAAACTTGGGGTCATACTGCCCAGAAACTCTTATTCCTAGTCTGTGTCTAACAAACTCAGGGAAATCATAAAACAACTTATAACAACTTATTCAATTCATTGGATATCACCATATCCAGAAACCTATTCTCCCTAGTTCATACCTTTATAGACTTTGGTCAAATATAATTGTGTACTATACTCCTTCAATTCAATTCCTCTTGGATCTCTGTACTCTTATATCCAAGGCATTCTTAATGTATACCATTACTTAATATTAATCAATATAAATTATCCTTCCTTAGTTTTCTTCCTTATGTTACCATTGTTTGTTTCACTTCACCTTGATATAAACAAATTACTCATTATATTTAATCTATGAAATCCTATTGAACGCAATCTTTGAAGTATTAAATAACCATGATCCTTATTTTATGAACTTCATATTTTATCTACATATTGATACTTCTCATTCTATGTATAGGTAATAATGTAATAGTTCTCTTCATAATACTATCCTTTCATAATTTTCTAAGTACTCTCTTTTGGTATTAATACTCATAACTGTTATATAACTTTTCATTGTCTCTTTTCTTTGTTAATATTTAGGAATTGATATGTATGTTAATGTCAATCTTTTATTTCTTTGTAAGTCTGTTAATCTTCTGTATCGAATGAACTCTGTAGAATCTTCCATCAAAGTTTGCAGATCAGATGAAAAGTCTCTTTCCAACAGTCGATGTCCAGTTGTCTGAAGGAATGCTTTCCTGATTTATTGCCACAAGGATCTGTCACGCTTTACCAGATCAGTTATCTCTGTCTATTTCGTTGCTTCATCCACACAGCTGCGCAGTTCTGGGCTGGATGATTGCCAACCTCTGCCACGTGCTTGCTTCTAGAATTCACGTTGTATCTTGTGCTTTTTGTCTCAGTTGTAGAAAATAGTCTTGTACAGTCTTTGTGATTTGAAAACTTTCTTTTTCTTACAAACACAGTTCTTCTATGACAGTCAGTCTAGATTCTTTTTTTCTCTTCAAGTTTGTTTTCCCAGTTCCAAAATAGCTTTGTAACTCGATTCTTCTCTCTGCTTCTGCCTGCAACACACTTCTATTCAACACAAAAAGTAATTCGATATCCGTGCTCTCTCTGCTCACCTCCCCCCCCTGAATAGAAGTTTGTAACAGCAGAAAACAGTCTGGCTGGCTCGTCAATGTAATAACTGGCTGTGTTTTTCTTTAGTTGAATAAGTCTTTTATGTATATATATAGATATATATAGATATTATCTTCTTTTGTATATATAGTCTTGGGCCAAATGCTCGCCACAATAATATATGTCTATATTATTGAAAAGTACTAATACGCAATCTGACGTTCTTTATAAAAAATGAGTATTTATTCTACATTCAACAGGAAACAGTTATATATACTTAACAGATGGTAATTCTTAACGATGTTACAGAGAGTCGTCTTGACATCAGAGAGGAGAGCAAACGGATCGTAGCAGGAAGAGACTGTAATCCTTTGTCCTTGGCTCTATATACCCCAAATTACGTCATAATGTTTAGTTTAGACCCTGCCATATAAGGAAGTTCCCTATATAAAGACCGCCTCAAATCTCTTATACAGCAAATTCCAGAGACCTCATATTACAGAGTAGCAAACACCATCTGTTCTGTTTAACCCATTAGACAGCCACACCTTAATATGTATTTGAATAGGAACATACAGAATATGCAATATTCTACATGCTCCAAGTAGCAGTACAGCAGGCATTAGCAGCGTAGTCAAGGAAAGCCAAAGTCAGGGGAAGCCAGAGATCAGAGTAGTCCAGGAGGAAAGCCAAGGTCAGAAGCCGGAATCCGACAGGAAACGCTGGAACGCTGATAAGAAGAGACAGGAACCAAACAAGGAAACCAGAGTCAATGAACTGACACTGCCCTCAGGGAGAGGCAGTGTCTTATACCTGGCTAATTGGTGATCAGCCACAGAATAACGTCCAGCCCCCAGTGCTGGGTACAAAGCAAGATAGACTTCTGGCTATATCTTGAGCAGATAGCTATTGTCTGGGAGACCAACATATTAAAAACTCAGTCCATTCGGTTCAGCTGTTCGGGAGATATAGGACTTAGAAGTTTTGACCGACTGCACGGGCAAAGTAGCCGAAAACAGTTCCATGAATTCTGGCCCTGCAGTCGGTCTTAGATCGCATGAAAAACCTCCCGAACGGCCGGCCATCCAGCTACCATCCTTGGTTCGCTTGATTCCCCATCTGTTGGTAAGTCTTTCTACCGAGCGCCCAGTCGTTCGGTAGTTTGGAAGGGGTTTTACCGAAGGTCTGGAGGAGTCAGTGGTGTTCGCCTGTTTGAGTGTCCATTTCAGTTCCAGACATTCAAGGGCAAACACCGCTGTTCGGGAGCTAAAATGGCCGCGAACACAAGGAAGTCCCGAAATGGCGGAGAGACCTGCCGTTCGTGCAAAACTTCTGCCGAACGTAATCCAGCCAGCAAGGGGGTACAGTCTGTATAAAGGGGTGACAGGGTGGTCTGCATTCAGTAGTTTTACCTACCGAATGCCATAGGGAAACATTGCTATTGACAACAAATACAAGGAATGCATATACAGTAAAAAAAGGCATTTCTTCACACTGCTCCCCTATAAGTCCATAGGTCGGCATACTCGCCAAGACCCTGACGGGTTGGCTTGGGGATGTCCGAGGTGAAACAAAGAAACAGTCCAGGTTAAGCATCCAATTCCGTTTGGCGGGACAAACCGTCCGCATTACCATTTTGTTTGCCCGGACGATATTGCATAGTGAAGTTGTACAGTTGAAGGGCTAGGCTCCACCGTAAAAGTCTTGGGTTGTCGCCAGCCACCCGGTTTAACCACACCAACGGGTTGTTGTCGGTCATCAGAGTAAACGGCCGGCCGTACAAATAAGGTTGGAGTTTCTTAAGGGCCCACACCAGGGCTAGGCACTCCTTCTCCACGGTGGCATAGCTGACTTCCCGGGGCAACAGTTTACGACTTAGATACGCCACCGGGTGTTCCATGCCGTTGTCTCCCAGCGGGCTTAACACGGCTCCTAGCCCAAACATGGAGGCATCTGTGTGGACAAGAAATTGTTTAGAGTAGTCTGGTGCTGCCAACACAGGAGCCTCACTCAATGCTGCTTTCAGTTTCTGGAAGGCTGCCGCGCACTCTGGGGTCCAGGTAACCTGTTTGGAAAGGGCCTTTTTGGTGAGATCAGTGAGGGGTTTGGCCAGGGTGCTATAGTCGGGGACAAATTTCCGGTAATAACCGGCTGTTCCTAAGAAGGCTAAGACCTGGGTTGGCCTCTGTTTTGGCAGGCTCGGGCCGCTGTTTACCTGACCCTACCCTGTGGCCGAGGTACTGTACCTCCGCCATACCCACGTGACATTTGTCCGTTTTCAACGTAAGCCCTGCTTGGTGAATTCTCTCGAGCACCCTGGACACGTGGCCTAGGTGGTCTCCCCATGTGCGGCTGTAGACAGCAATATCGTCTAAATACGCACATGCGAAGTCCTGGAGTCCCTCCAGGAGCCTGTCAGCCATCCGCTGAAACGTAGCTGGGGCATTCTTCATCCCAAAGGGCATAACCTTGAATTGGTAAAGCCCAAAAGGAGTGACGAATGCCGACTTGGGGATGGCGGCAGACTCCTGGGGGATCTGCCAGTACCCTTTGCACAAATCCAGAGTGGTCAAGTAATTACCTCCGGCCATACGGTCCAGTAACTCATCTATTCTGGGCATGGGGTAGGCGTCTGTTATGGTGCGGTCGTTGAGCCTCCGGTAGTCTACACAGAAACGTTTGGTGCCGTCATGCTTCGGTACTAGTACTACCGGAGAGGCCCAAGGGCTTTGAGAGGGTTCTATTACCCCTAACTTGAGCATGTCGGCAAGTTCTGCCAGCATGCTCTCACGCACGACCTCGGGAATGTGGTAGGGCAGCTGCCGTAGTGGCGTCTGCAGAAAACATGCCCTGGTATTCCCGGAGTAAGCCGGCCGCTTCCTGTCGCTCTATAGGTTGTAGGTTCTGACCAAGACTGACCTGGTCAATACTGCAGGGAGAGGAATCTAGCAGATCGGGGAGTGGGAGTCCCTCGCTATCTTCGGAAGAGGGGGCGCATACAGCGCCGACATCTTCCGTCCGTTCGTAGTAAGGCTTCAGCATGTTTACATGGAAGACTTTGGTCAGTCTCTCATCTGAACATTTGCTTACAATGTAGGTGGTATCGCTCATTCGCTCCACCACCTTAAAGGGTCCCTGCCAGGCCGCCTGGAGCTTATCCCTTTTGGCGGGTCTCAAAGCTAATACTTTTTGGCCCAAGTCTTGGACTCTGTCTCGGGCACCCCTGTCGTAGCACCTCTTTTGGCAGTCCTCGGCCGCCTGCAGGTTCTCCCGAACTGATTCGGTGAGAGTTCGCAGCCGGTCGCGGAACTCCAATACGTATTGGACTATAGGGATCCCCCCATCATCCGTGTTGCCCTCCCAGTGCTCCCGTACGAGATCCAGGGGGCCCCGAACTTTTCTCCCGAACAGGAGTTCGAAGGGGGAAAACCCTGTGGATGCCTGGGGCACCTCACGATAGGCAAACAGAAGATGGGGAAGATACTTCTCCCAGTTCCTGCATAACTCTGCGAAAGTTTTTAGCATTTGCTTGAGCGTGCTGTTAAAACGTTCACAGAGACCGTTGGTCTGGGGGTGATATGGGGCGCTAAAGAGGGCTTTCACTCCACAGCTCTGCCACAGCTGTTGTGTCAGGAGAGCTGTGAACTGAGTCCCTCTCCTGGGGGAAACCTACCCGGGAGAATATTTTGACCAGGGCCTCGGCTACCGTTTCGGCCTCTATATTTGGAAGGGCTACGGCTTCGGGGTACCGAGTGGCATAGTCCACTACGGTGAGTATGAACCTTTTACCAGACTGACTGGGCCGACTGAGGGGTCCTATTAAATCTACCGCTACCTGGTGGAACGGCTCTTCTATGATGGGTAACGGGTGGAGCTTTGCTTTTTGGTGGTCACTCCGTTTCCCTATTTTCTGGCAAACGTCACAGGTCCTGCAATAGTATTTGAGGTCTTGAGTGATCCTGGGCCAAAAGAAAGTTTGGGACAGTCGGTCCCTAGTCTTCTTAACCCCTAAATGTCCGGCTAGAGGAATATCATGGCTGAGTCTTAGTAACTCAGCCCGAAACTTGCGGGGCACTACTAGTTGTATTTTAGTAACCTGGGCGGTTCCGTGTTCCGCCCCATCTGTCACTCTATACAACAGTCCCTTATGCCATTCAAACTTTTCGTGGGGGTTGTCGCCCCTATTGTCCCCTACTGCTTTTCTATACCCGGCTAGAGTGGGGTCAGTCCTTTGTTCCTGCTCAAACCCCTGGGGAGTATCCCAGAACGAGGGAGGAGGGTCGGGTAAAGGGGGGATGTCAACTCCTACCTGGGTTTCCTCAGAGTGCAGCGGTGCTTCCAGTCTGGCTTGAGCTCGGGTGGTAACCGGATACGCCTCAGCTGTGGTGTCTCGGGCTAACTGGGAAGTTAAACAGCCCACATCATTCCCCAACAGTACTTCGGCTGGTAGCTCCTGCATAATGCCAACTTTAGCCATGGGTAATTTGTGGATGGCACCCCCGGCAACCCTTACTGCCACAGTGCGGCCCGTGTGCGTTTGAGCCTTGACCGTGTGCGGTTGAACCACAGTTAACGTGGCCCCAGAGTCTCTTAAGGCGCGGGCCCCCACCCCGTCTACCGTAATCCATTGACGGTGGTGGTCCCGGTTGTCACCCCCGGCTTGCACAGCGTTGACTTCGTGCAACACACTCCATTGTTCCTCGTGGGGAGGTACCCATGATGTACTCTACTGCTGTACACAATGAGCAGCGGCCCTGGGTTTAAACGTGGGCACTGATTTTTAAAGTGTCCTGGTTGTTTGCAGTAGTGACACACTGCAGGTTGTCGGGGTGCTGCGGCTGGGTTGTGGGGCAAATTACTCAGGGGAGTTCTAGGTGGTGCAGCCGTGGTTGGGGTCGGCAACGCAGGTCGGCTCACCCCTTGTTCTCGCCTCCTGTTATCCTGGTATTCATCTGCCAGTCTTGCTGCCTCCTCCACAGTTTTAGGCTTCCTGTCTTTAACCCAGTCCTTAATATCCTCTGTGGTATGGTTAAAAAATTGTTCTAATAGGAGAAGTTGTAAAGCATCCTGCAGAGTGGTTGCTTGGCAGCCCTTCATCCAATTTCGGGATGCCCTGTGTAGCCGGAATGCCCATTCAGTATGGGTATCCCTCCCTGTTTTCCTCAGTTCCCTGAATTTCTTTCTGTATGCCTCAGGGGTAACCGCATATCTAGCCAACAAAATGTATTTTATCTTTCCATAATTATGAATATCTTCATCAGGTACTGCTCGTGCTGCTTCTGATGCTCTGCCTGACAACTTGCTGCTCAGTACTGCAGCCCATTTGGTGGAGTCTAATCCTTCCAGTGCACATTGCCTTTCAAAGTCTTGCAGATAACTATCGATCTCCATTTCATTGTCATTAAAGTTTTTAAATGCAGCATAATTTACCTTTTTCGGCATGTCATTTGTACTTCCCGGGGAGTGTAGCAAATCCCCCTGTAGTAGTCTGTCATCAGTAGTGTATAGCGGTACAAGTCATCAAACTAACTTTTGACAGGTGCCCGCCCCCTTTTTATGAAACCACACCCATTTTATGGAACCACGCCCCTTTTATGAAACCACGCCTCTTGCACAATATGACAGACGCCCCGCCCCTTTTAATGAAACCACGCCTGTTGCGCAATAGGTCTCCGCCCCCTGTGTGGTGATGGTTGCCCAGCCCCTTTCATGAAACCACTCCCCTTGCGCAATAGGGCCCCACCCATTGCGTGTTGATGGGTGTCCGCCCCTTTTTTTATGAAATCACACCCAATACGGCGTGTTATAGACACGCCCCTTTACAATGTTCATAGAGTCTGCCACCATGTGG